GGAAAAGAAAGACAAAATTTTACCTGGAGCTGTTCTTGGTAACTTTATAGTGGTTGCACTGATCAGAGCTTTCCATGCCTTCATTAGCTCCTCCCATGCTTCTGCTAAGAAGCCTGCCTTGTGCTTGGCGAGGACATTTTTGTCGATATGCCACCTGCACAGCAGCATATTGGCAGTGAGAAATGTGTCATCAAGCGCACCCATGAGTGCAAGCTCACGATCAGTCACAAAGGTGATATGGTTGGTGGGGATTTTGTATTCTTCAAACACATCTCGAAGGTGATGCACAGCCCAATGGAAGTCTGTAGCTGTCTCTCTTTGCATACAGAAGTATGCAAAGGTAAAGCTCTGGTGGGATGATGTGGCACCAACAAGATGAAACAGAGGCATGTCAAACTTGTTTGTCTTGTATGTTGCATCCAGTAGCCACACTAAACCGGCACAAAACTTTTGGCAGATCTCACGGGCGCAGGGTTGTATAAACAAAAAAATGGGTGAGCTTTTGATCACTGCCAACCTGTGAGAAGTGGTGGGAAGCATTACCAAGGCTGCCCAGGAAAGCTGGAATGAGTGAGCCAGTTCCCTATTCATAATGTTGCGAGCATCCTGGAGTGTCAGCATAATACCTTCATTCTGTTAAACTGAAGTGGTGATACAGCTGTTTGGAACAAGTGCACGTAAAACCCCCAATACTCTTGGTATTGTTCTGGTGTGAGCATGCCAATGCGTCCCTGCGGATGCGCGCTCGGATGCGCAAACGCCTCAGGGTTGTGTTCATCGTTGGTAACTTCAACAAGCCACTGGTTTTCTTGATTGCGTATGTTGGCTCTGAAAGGACAGCCACTGCTCCGACTTGGCCTCAACGCTTGCCTGGACCACTGCGCACAACAAGAGCGTTTAATTGTGAGTACTGATCGTATACCACCTTAACATTGCCTTCCTTCCTGTCGCCAACCCTCTTGGTATGCTTGACAGCAATGACATATCCCTGTAATGTTGCATGGGCCTTTACAGCAGCTTGAGCCTCAGCAAGAGAGGCATGTCCAATTCTGAAGGGGGAGTAAGGGTGTTCATTTTGATAGATTTGTTGTAACAGAGAAGGTTGCAATTTGAAGGTGGGTGTCGTGTGGGTGTGTAAATTCTCACAGTTGCGTTCATTCTCTTTGACAAATCACAACGGTAAGTTACAGCCAATCAAAATTAAATTTGGGGGTGGGTGGATGGTTAACGCGTGTGTGGTGGACAAATAACGCTTCACGTTTTAAGATTGCTTTCTATTTTAATAAAGATCTGTATGGTATCAAGTGAAGAATGGAAAGGGTCCAGTACCTATCACCAAATCGCACCAATGGCGCGTGCACATTATTGTATATACTTAATGTGATCATTTAATCTAACTTGAGATTGTAATATACCATTATTCTATTTTTAACTCGATAGATTTTATGTGCCAAAATCGTACACTCCCATCAACACCTGGTCATAATTTACAAGTGACCGCACGCTGGCATGTTATCCGAAATTAAACGGTGATTTCATCATTTCTAGCACACTCTTGATCACTAACATACACAAATGAAATTACACAAGATAGTACGAGAAAAATGACAAAAAATGTAGTATAAGCTACAAGAAAACCGAAAAAAATGTGACGTCTGATATATATACACTTTAGAGTTTAATCTTTTTTTAAAAGTTAAAGTACAGAAGATCACCTTCTTACAAATTAATATTTCGATGGATGAAAATCGTCAAGTCTAAAAGTTGTTTTATGGGTAAGAACCTTAATTTGAACCAGTGGCGAACCATGCACGATGAGGCTGCATGAACATGAATTTTACAACAAATTCGATTGCAAGTTATTGAACTTTTACAACCCTAGCCACTCACACGGTCTTGCAGTAGTTCCAGTGTACAATGTTTAGTACAAAGTGAGGACATTTAAACGCAAAGCGGACTCCTGCAAATTGCGCATATATTTGCAAATTTTACTCGTTTTCCTTTGGTTGTACGAAACACGACACTATTATAGGCTGGAAGAATTGGCAACGTGACCAATTGTATCTCCAATTATCCATCAATTCCATATTATATATTTAGAAAAAAAAGAAATGCCCCATATAATTGGAAAATAAAATGCCTCACGTCCTAGAATACTCAAGCTATTGTGGTACACATAATATTACACGTCCTTAGTCGTTTTCGTTTACCATTTTATATCCGTGACCAACCCCTTCCCTTATTGGCAAGACGCTGTAAGGATTCTGCCGCGGGCGTCCTGCGCTTGCAGCCACCAGTTGCGGGCGCAGACGCAAGATATGAGAACGTAAGGGCGTCTTTGCAACATCGTCCGCGATCGTAAATATAGTCAGTACGTGCTAATGCTGTTGACACTAATGTCATTGCTTTTGTAAATTTAGTTCAAGTTGCTTGATTAATGTTGCTGCTGATGTTGCTGCTGCTTGTGTTGTTGTATGGTGCTGTGGTTGCTATTGTTGTTGCTAATGTCGAATTTGCCAATGCTGTTGAAGCTGCAAGATTCAGTAGTTGCAGTCGATAAGGCGCGTACACAAACGTTCGCATCAAGCGCGTGCTATTGCTTGATGAATGACAGTGTACGTGTGTGTAGCTAAATAAGACGAGTATGATGCTGCTCCTACCGAGCTGCTTTCAAGACTAGTGACACGTTTTAATATATCATAAAATTTAAGCAACTTGCACTCTAAATTACCAGCACCTACTGTGAGGGGTTAAGTAGTTTGTATCGTGCTTATACCAATTAAGTTTAGAATCACTACAACCTAAAACCAAATTTGTTAAGATCTGCTACGTTGAGTATCTTAGGACGATGGGCATATTTTTATTTTCGTGATTAAATAGGGTATTTTAAATTTTCTTATTTTTCGTTTATTTTTTATAAATCTGATTACTTAGAGAGTATCACAACTTAGTCTGAAGTAGATTGTTATATGACACCGCAAGCCAACATACGTATGTTTCGATTAATAGTGTAATGATATAGAATCTAAGAACTTTCTCGAATAAAGTTGATCACAGAAAACTGGAGCAATATTAAATATAAATGGATAACTTGTACAAATATATCCAAATTTTAAAAATAATGACCTTTACCTAAAGACGGTTCTCAATCAAAGCTTATCACAAGTCTATATTAGCAAAACATTCTTTAAAAATAATCTTTTTGGTCACATACATCTCTCGCTGGCAACATGCTGCAAAGTGGCTATACAATCCATAACGATACCCCTCTAATTTATTGATTATTAATATGTTCGAATGCACTCATTAAATACGATACAAATTTCCACCAAGTAGATTGGTAACAGGGATCACAACATTATTTCTCAATTTGTCTTTTCTTTCCCTAAATAAGCTTTTTTGTTAACGTGCGGAACGCGTGTTCCTAATTTTGCTCGCGTCCGAACCTTCACATGTATCAAAAATAGCGAAATTTCCCGAGTACAGAATAGGTAGAATATTATGAACTTGCGTATGGCGCGTAAGCATTGTGTGCATGTTGTATGAACACGTCTGTAAGTGCGATTGCAACACAGTTCCACATATACACGATCCTCTGAAAAATACAAAGAATGCCGACTATATGCAGCGAATCCTTCGCATCTTAATCACAACGGCACTACTAATTTCGCGGTAAAAAAATAGTTAGAGCTATTTTTGATATATGTGGCCTCTAGAAGTTGATCACTTCTTCGTGCGATACAAGCACCTGGCACAAGATATTCGGCTTGCGAACCGGCAGGCTGATCGATATGTTGTAGACGATAATTGAACATGACTGGAAGCAGTTCACAAGAAAGAATGGCCAATGGCGGTATGTAGATAGAATGTATGAAGTAGGACGTAAATAGTAGCTGGCACGAACATCAGCGGATAATTTTAGTCTTGATAATAAACGATAGACTTGTTTCAGAGTAAAAATCGATGCTTGTTGGGTCCAATTATTGAGAGAGCTTTTTACACAATGTAATGTATACCTGCGCTACAAGCGTTCGTGCATTATAAAATGGTGTACGGCGAACGAATGGTATTGTATACGAATCAAAGACTCATTTATTCTCCTACAATTTCGCTACCGACTGTGCCTTCCACCGGTCTTACTAGTTGCTTCCTAGTGAAGTGCTGTATGACGGGTCTCAATAAGGTTCGAACAAGGCTTAGTGGTAGGTTCGTTTGGCAAACTTAATGCTGACGTCACATCCATTTGAACCCGATGGCACAGCCGAAGGCTTATATTACACCAGAAAATATGCCCTATGGATCGCATTTTAATCATGTACAAACATAATGCAAAATTTGCGCTCACAAGGTTGTCGGTGGAAAGCAACCTATTACAAATTTAACTAAATGAGGCTTGCTAGTGAAAAAGTTGAGAGCTTGCATTTTATAACTTTGTTAGGTGACCCCGTATGACTTCAGTAAAGACCAAATACAACAAATTACATGTACTGTTTGCACGCAGCATGCTACGTAGTCGCTAGCATGCGGTCTGTTACAACATAAAGTAGAGGCGTCTTACCTCAATGAAAAGAACAGGTGTTGTAAGGTATACTATTCATGAAGCAGTAAGCTACCATCCAACCAGGTGCCCGATAACAACGCCCTCTGCTGTTGATCGACGTATACATACTTGGTCTGCATAGCGAGATTGCACACAAACGCCCTGACATCTCGAAAAGACATGGACAAGTCTATCATAGTAGCTAAGCCTTTTCGGGCTACCTAATGATAGGCAATGCTTTCCGTGGCTACACGAAACACTGTTCACGAAAAGAAAGCGCGTTCAGTAAGGCACTCGTAGAACGGTAAGGCGCCTCATTGACCTATAGTACCGTCCACCGATTCGCGCTTTTTTTTCGATCGGTCTCGCATCTACTCATCCCAATTTACAACCACTTGTTTCTGTTTCCTTCGACATTTACACATCCGGGTAGCACACTTATACCGTTGACCAAAGTACATCAGCAATTCGGCTCCCTCTTCACTTTCTCAGTGTCCTGGAACCCCATGAGATGGCCATCCAGCATCGCAATGAATCGCTCATATTCTTCCAGCTTTTGCTTAAAGCCCGTCATTTGTTCTCGAAGTTCGTGCATCTCGTCGCGCACAGCCGAGTACTTCTTCTGTAGCTCAGCAATCTGTGACTGCTCGATCTCCTCCGCATTTAACTCGCTTCTTATTGCCACACTCCCGCCTTGCTGCCGCTGCTTGCCTTGCTCTTCTCGCCGTAATCTTGCAGCAATAAGCTGTTTGTACTCGAGCTCAAGAGCTTGGGCGGTTGTTTGCAATTCCAGTATGTTCCGCTATACGTTCATGATCAAGATGAATAAGCGTCAGTTACAACGAGATCCTGTCTACCATTCAACTAACTCTTACATACAATGTCGCACCTTCTTGCGCTCGCGAGACTTCCGCTTCAGCTCGCGTTGCTTGCGCTTCCGCTCGTCCTCTGCGACACCCGCATCAGCCGCTACGCGAGTTTCCTCTTTCGGTTCCTGGCTGGCCATGATCGCTTCGAATGAAGTACCAGAATGACCAATCTAGCCTTGGTCCAGCGTCAGCATACCCAGGTGTGTAGAAGTAGCGCAGGAAAAAGTCGTGCTGCTGCGATGCTCGAGCAGGACGTTTCGCATGTGCCTAACAACACCTTGCGACGCCAAGCTGCGCATTACTTTACTGCCAGTCACAGCGCTCTGCTCCGATACGAGCGACGCAGCTGGCTTCTCTACGCTAGCATTGACGTGAGAGTGAAAAAACGAAATCAAAGATGCGATCTGGGATTTGAAGAGGGCTCTCTGCAACCAAGTACGAGCCCAGTGGTTATGCCGGTCTGAGCTGGTGCTTGCGCATACACTTACAATTTCGAAGGATGAAGCGGCGGTTTGAGCTCCTCGGCTGTGTCCCGGTCAAATCTTACAGGCACGTTCAGCGGACATAAAGCGGAGTTTTCGTTTTCTTTGCGACGGCTCTCTCACGGTAGCAACCCAGTCCGAATATACATCTGTTTGATTATGACCGCCTCCGACGCTAAAGAACCCTCTGCTGCTGACTCGTTGTTCTCGCTCGGACGGTATTTCGGTTCTGGCCAGCATCTTTAAAGACCAAAGAGGAAGCTGCAAGTGCAAGGCCCCGTCGCTGAACTGAGAAAAAGCGTTCTCAGTAAAAGGCTCTTTTTTGTCAAAAGCCACGCCATGGGCGTCGCAAAGTTCCGTATTCAATTGCCAATGAGTGGGACTAGTGACTGCAGGCCCAATCATTTTCACAGTGGTGTTCGATACTGACTTGCGTGTCACCATTCACCACGAGATGCGCGATGCCACGTTGTAGACGGCAACTGATGTTTCGCAGGCTTGAGGGGGGGGACCGTGCGACGCGACGACAAGTGTATGACACCTATCGGCTCGTAAAGTTGTGGTTCAAGCGGTAGTGGAAAGAACGGACATAAAAGATTATGGACACACCGCCAGAACTGATTGCGTAGTCGAACTAGCGTTTATATCCAGAAGTTAAGGAACCCGCCGACAATTTGATGCGTTTTCCTGGCTTGTTTGTGACTTATTTGTTGAGAAGCCTGCTAAGGTAGTATCATATTCTAGAATTACAAAGATGGGGCCGTGTGAGGCGGGGGCACAATATATCGAGCATACTGTCGGGTCGACATCGTAGATATTATTATCTGCATTGCCGCATTTTGTAGGCAGAATTTTGACTGATGCGGCCAAAGTGTATAGGACGAAGGAAGGGCGCAAACAATGGGCAGTCCATTACGCGCGAAGATTTTGCGTTGCACATAGAGCGGCACGATAAGGACTAGGCTGATCGCGTCTACAGAATCGTGTACGAAAATTGTACATGTGTGTTTTTTACACAATTCAGAGATGAGACACGAGGAGAACTCGCTTGGGACCAAGCAAAATATCCGTAAATGGTCACTGGGTTCTAGCGCAACGGCAGCCACAGATTATTTGAAGCCCGTGGTACTTAGACAAGATTGAGCTACCTGTTTAACTAAATATTGGTGGCTGCATGAACATAAACCCTTATATTTTGGTCAAAATGTAGCAATTGCTTCTGCTATATAAATGAGGCCCGATGCCGACAATGAAGATCAATTCAAACGATTTCTTGTCCGTATTACTATGCAAATCCCACTGCTGACAGCACCAAATTGTGTACTCAGTCGAGAAGCCATGCACTCAATATATCTACCATACAATAAGCTGACAGATCGTGCCACTTTCAGAATCTCGATGCTGGCTTCTTTGCATCTCCGGCATGTTGATGGTGATTGTGTGCAGAAGAGAGCTGAGTGGCAGGGCACGAACTACGGCAGCGTTTTTGGCACAATCAATCTGTCTACCGACGACATAGCGATGAGAAATTACAAAAAGCTGATCCTCCATAGTTGTCGCGACATTTGGGGGCCGTAAGACATTCCAGCCGTATATATACATATATCTTTACCAGAAAAGAAAGAAAATTGCGTACGTAGCCGTATGTAGCTGGTTCTTACGTAATTGAGACTTTTGCGACCAAAAATAGCGGTTTTAATGATGTGCAACTGATCCTGAGATGTGGTAGAGTGCCATGATGCCCATTATTGTATTTCCTTACTTGTTTAATGTAAGTACAAGCCCAGGTCCGAAAGGAATATATATCAGCAAAAAGTAGATATAGGGCTTAGGCGAATGAGTTGTACAACTAGACCAAATCGATTTTAGCCATCACCATAATGACGCTGAGTAATGTTAGATGTATATACTAACGATGATGCTGCAGAGGCACCGTTGGGAGGTCTCTTCGATGACAAATGAAGGTAAAATTGCACAGCTGTAAGTGCTGTCGATACTGACAAGATAATTTTGAGGTCTCCATTTGCTTATCATGATCGACGATTTCGTACTACCTCGTTGCGCTACAGCCACCATTGTATTCACTCGCCACATCACTCCACGTAAACTTTTACAGGTAAATGCAGCCTAAAGTCGTTGCCAATTCGCGTGGTCAGACATATTAACTTTGTCATTTAAACTGAATAGCAATAAATAGATCCTATCCCTCTTCCTTGTACTTCATCGACGTCGATATTTAGAGCCTTGATTTGGGCCACTCATCTGTCATGGCGTTACTCAAAAAGTATCATGTATGCTACTGAAGAAACATCCATTGTTTAATGTACGTTTTGTCAATATCAGTCGTTTGCGAAGAAAAAATAAGTTGCTGGACAACGAAAAGGCAGTCAAAGCGGTGTTGCTTCTGTCGCAGCTATACATTGTTTACTAAATCGATATAAACCTTTCGGCATGCAAATGACAGTAAAGTTATAGCTATACATACTTTTGTCGTTGTACAGGCTCTACCAAAAGTTCCTTGCTTCGATACTGCTTTTGTAACGAGACACGCTTCTACCAAATGACTGGTAAGACCTTGTGTATATCGATCACAAGGCTGCGAACTCCCTACGTCACGTACACGTGGCGTGAGCAAGCCCGAGGAAGTAAGTAGAACTCGAAGTCTTTATGTAAGGAAAAGGTAGGACTGTATTTGATATAGTTGGACTTTTTAAAAAAACCACCTTTGTCTTTGTCTTTCTATAAAAAGTACAATCTCCTATGTAAATTACAACTCATCACGCGCTGCGTGCGTCTACCAGCGATTGGTGGTAAATTTAGTGACTGTACCTTGTCAATAATAAAGTGAAACACCAAAGAAGATCACCCTCGCGGATAACATTTCGTCAACATCACCTCATCTCGAGTTATGTTGTTTAAATATTATTTGAATAAATAAAAATAATTTAAAATTGATATATTCGTTTTAATTTTATGTAACGGGCTCACCCAGTTACAGCTGTGGAAGTAAAATCTTTGATTTTTACAATCAGTGCTTATTACAGACTCTGTTGGATGGAAAAACGATGTGGGATAAGTGGCAGAACAGAAGAACATACCTTAGAAGACTTACCTATCACATCTATAATATTGCTGTCAAGGTAATGATCAATATTAAGCTATAACGGTAAACCAGATTTTAGCATCGATACCTTCATGAATCGCATCGCAAAATATCTTTTCACCTGTAATCAAGCTATGAGGAAAAACACGTACATTAATTTAGTTGAGGCGGGAAAGCACGTTCGCGCTCATTACATTGAGCCAATCACACAAGTAAAAGCTTTGCTTGCAGCGCACAGTGTGAAGGGCCATTTGATAGAGTGAAACTGTTTAAAAAATGTCGCCACTGCACATACGTTGATGCGATATGACATTCGTATAAGTACATATGATTGTGGAATCGATGTTAAACTGAAGATGAGAATTATCGACTTTTATCTTCATTGCACATTTCAGTAACACATACTTGGTCAAGTCCGCAAAGGGAGCCGCCAAAGTAATCGGCATTTATCTTTATCAATGTAGCTGTTGTTCACGCAGGTACGTCATAACGGTTATTAAGGGCTCGTATTATCAGGTCTACCTATTATTGGTAAGTACGTTAGCTAGCTATTACTTTTTACATACGCCAAAACTATGACCTCGAACGACTTAGTTAATATCGAACACAAACACATAAATACATACAGCAATAAGGTTGATCGCGCATTGTAGTGCATATTTTTTCCTAATACAGTTAAGCATAGTTGTTGCCAGAAGACCCCAAACTTGATCCATCTAAAAGAATTAGAACTCCTTTTGTATATTTGTAAAGAACCAAATATTCGATAAATGAATTAACTACCATTCAGTAAAGATGTTCAGCAATGCCGTACATGATGCGACCATACAGGTTCTACTTGGGATAACGTGTACATCCACGCAGAATATGTGCGATTGGATTACACATGAAGTGCCGAGAGCATTATTTTATTCCGTCGACATACATGTTGCACAAAGACAATGCAAATTGACACTTCATGTCTGATACCAAAAAAATTATTTATAGATCGTGTGGCTCCTATATATAATTCTGGATTGAATAAAATTAGACTTTTTTTAATTAAAAATTGCTGTTATGCGCTTGCGTAATTACTGTTAAAAATAAAATGCTTATATATTATCTCTCAAATTGACGCGATAACAATCGTGAAAAAGATGATATTGTGTACTTAATGCAGATAAAATCAACTAAAAAACTAGTAGGTAAATCACACACGGTCAAAACAAGATTAGAAGGCGTGTATAAGCCTAGTGCAAAAAAATAGGCAAATTAATGGTGGACCATACTAAAAAAATAATGACGAACCATTATATTATTAATATATGTAAGGCTTGATTGGTTAGCATGGAACGCGAATAGTACCACATCACAAGGTTTAATACTAATCCAAAAAAAGCAACGTACGCACACGTACAGAATACTCAAACACATATGGAAAGACAGCAAAAGTACGTAAATGCAATTGTACGAAGCCCCGTATAATACAATTTTATTGCAAGTCACTTGCGAGAGCTTTACATATCCGGTTATGATGCTCCCTCCAAAACATCAAAATGTTCTTCCCTTTTTT